AAAGTTATAATACCATACTTACAGGGCGAGGAAGATGGCTGCGGGAAGGGAGGTGGCAGACGGGATGTGCGCCAGATATCCTGTCCCCATCCCAGGGCCCATCCTTCGCCAGGACTCTCAGGTGTGTCCGGGTGACACAAGCTGAACAACTTTTCAGCACGGGCGGGGAGAGTTACTTGTGCCCCAGCGATTCCGCTTACATTTGAGGGAAAACACCCAAACACAAATACAAATTCCAGGGCTGGCAAGCGGGCAACAAATTTGTTTAACAAAAATTTCATAAAATAATGCAAAAGTTTGTTGTTGCTATAACTCATTTGAAGGAGCCACCAGGTCTCTGTCGCAGCTGTTGTCGCTCACTTGGAGTTTATTTCTAGGGAAAAGAAGGGACGGAAATATTTCCCCATTATCAGTTCAAGGAAAACCCGGGAAATGGTGCCTCGAAGCCCTTCAGGCAATCGGTAAAACTAATGAGTGCCTCGCGGGGGGGGAAAATAGTTGGGTTCATTTGGAGGCTAAGTTCGGGATTAGTTTCATATAAAGATTAACGGGGTCGGAGCATGGCAGCTATATTAGCTTATCTCAGCAGCTGTCACAAAAGTTTATGATTTGAATATAACTTTCTGACAAGTAAATTGTTATGTGTTGATAGTTGGAGAAGCGAGGAAACTTTAGCTTAGGTTAAGCCAATTAATATATATTCATGAAAATGTTTTACTAATTTGGGATTAAATAGCTGCACTTTTTCTTTGTTATAGTTTTGTAAATTGTAATTAAGTCTCCTGATAGATTTTAGTCAATTAAGCAAATGAATGTTTTGACTAAACAATTTGTTTGTAATAATTACTGTTTTCCCCTTATATCAGGTTCGTTGAGTGAATTTCCCATAGCTGCGTAAGCTTCTACCATCAACCCTTAAAGCGGCTTTAAATTCTTTAAATCACTCCCCCTTCTGCATAGTTAATGGCCCTGACAGTGGCTTTGCATTCTCTCCATATCTATTCCATATAAAAAAGCTAACGCCACGCTTACCATATCCGCACCCGATCCCTCCCCCTTTGGGATTCGCACCAGCTGCACTTTAACTAAACTCTAATGCAAAATTCATGGCCAGGCAGAAAAATAACCAGAGTCGCTGCGGAAAGTGGGAGGATACGGAAGACTCTTCTGCATTTAGTATGCAACCAGAGTGGAGCTGAGTCTAGTCCAGGAAATGACCATCCAGACACTGCTGGTGACCACAACAACAACCGAACGGAGCGGAACCAAAACCATCGGGGCACACAAAAAGCCCAGCACGAACTGAACTGAAATTGGAGTGACTCCACTTCGGCCGAGGCTTATAAAAGTTGCATGAAGAAAGTGAGCAATGGCGGCAAGGCAGTTCGTTCTCTCTGATTGATCGTTTAAAGGAGCAAGTAATGGAGGAGTTTCCAAACTAATGGTATCATAACTCTAAACTTGGGAGAAGCAAAAGGACAGTTTTGACAGACTACCTGCAATGAATAAAACAAGCCAGAGGTTCAAAGACCCAATAACATTCTTAGATTAATGATTAAATGTTCTGATATATGCATAGAGGATTATGATTATTTAAGAGTCCTTAAAAGGAAAGCGGTCTAGCTGATTTTGTTAAACTAATTTTTTGAAGAAAGATATTATTACATAAACAGTTTTCCTGAGAAAACATTTCCTAGAGATTTTCCAAAGACCCATTTAAAACTGTACGGGAGCTTTTTGTATAGAACCCTTGAAATGTCTCCTAACTAATGATCCCATAACTCAAAACTTGGGAAAACCCAATTTCCTTGTCTTTCTGCAACCCCATTTGTATATACACAGTAAGGGCAGCGCCAAAAGAAAAAAACTAACCGCAAATTAGCTTATTTGGCATTTTTACAGTCATTTCATTTAATTTACACAAACAAATTTGCGCCTGGCCAGACAAACAGCCAGAGAGCCAGGCAACCAAACATCCAAACATCCGAACTGGCTAACAGACAATGGCGAGCCAACGAAGCGCGCCGTCAGCCCCATAAAAGTAATGAAGCTGTTTAGGCGTCTCTAAGTAGTCGTCGGAAGTTGGAAACGATGGCTCCTCCATGTCTTGTGTCAGCGGGAAAATGCCCCCGTGCTTAGTTTCCTTTCTTTTTGGGTTTGGTGTAGGTAGTGGTTGTGCCAAAAGGGATCTCCGCCCGCCTTTCCTGGCATTAGTTTCTGCCCTCAACATTCATTCAAAATTCATGAAGTTGGCGCCGTTTTTATATTCGCTACCGCCCCCATACGAAAGAGGTTCCCTCAAGCGGTTGAAAGCCTTTCGCACATAACGCTATATTGCTTAACGAAATTGCCCTAAACTGAAATGCCGCCAATTGTGTTTGCCTCGAACGTCTCATTACGATTTTCCCAACACCTTTACGCTTGATGATATTTCACGGTCTTTGCTGGATTTATTTCCCCCATTCCCATTAAAGCCAATTAGCGGAGCCGTTTTATTTTGATGGAAATTCCCTTTTGTTTCCCTGGCTAACTGCTTGAGTCGCTGAGTACTGAGAGCAGCGTCGAACTATTTTGCATTTACTTATTGCCTGTCGCCATGGCATCGTCACCTGTCCAAGGACTTACTAAAGGATAGAAATCTTCCTATGAAGCTAGTTTGGAAAGGTGATGGAAAACTGGCTATCTTAGAGCTAGAAAAACTGAGGGTTTTACTATTTTTTCTCAACGTATATATACAACCGAACTACGTCTATACAAAGTTGATTGATATCAAAGAAGGGAAGTTAGCAATTCATCCTTAAAAATACTTCAAGATAAGTTATTGTTTTTAGAGTAAAGTTGGCTTTCGTTTTCGCCAGAAAGCCTAGCTAAATCTTGCCAGCACAGCTAGGCCACAGACAAGTCCTCCTGGATAAATGTCTTTTACTTGCCATATTTCACTGCAGCCAACTTCTTTTTAATGAAATCCACTTTCATATGTAATTTTGCCATCAGGAGAAGCTTTGCTGCTTTGCGATACCGCTTCCTTGCCAGACGGGCAAGAGGAGTCCTTGACGTGGATGATTTTCCTGCTGGATGCCGTACCGCCCAAGACAAAAGCCGCTCGACGTCGTTGACGACGCTTTTCGCTTTGTGTCTGGCCATAATTTCCCCCAAGAGCTGCCTGAATAAAATGAGGGGACAAAAGGACGGGGAGAAGGAAGAGGATGGAGACCAGGAGCTAGAGCAAAGTTAAGCAAAACTTTGTTATTTGTTTTAAGTGGCAGGTTGTGAGACGCACGCTAGCTACTCGCAGACTGCCTCCGAGGGTTGTTCTCGTCCTGGTCCTCGTTCTCGTCCTCGTCCTCGTCCTCGTTCTCGGCTCCGTTCCATTCAACAGTTCATAAAGTTAATTTTACCACAGAAATTATGTTAAAACGATATATGGCGAGGCAAGGATTTTTGGCAAATGTCCCCGCTGCTGCCATCTTCTTCGACTTTTCCTTCACTTCGGTGGGAACTGCAGCAGGAGTTATTGGAAATGGCATTAGGGCGCGGAAGGTTAAGGAACTTTTCCGACAACTTTTCCAACCCCTAAGCCAGCGTTGCGTATGCGTAATTAGTAACCCTGCGCCCTCAGGTAGGCAAGTTTTTTCTGTTTGCTATGTTATTTATGGATATTAAAGAGAATTCCGCCTTATTGAACTGTCAACCTTAAGCCAAACAAATTGCGTTCGAGGTCGGTAGAGTATCAGAAAAACTATTTCGTAGAAGTTGTGATTTTTTGTTTGCTTTTTGGGGGCCAGAGAAATCAAAGCAGCAGCCAAGAACTTTTGATTATAACAAATGTTTTGCGGTGGCTCTGGAGAGAGTGTGAGATGATTGCTGTTGGCCAAGAAGATATAGTTGTATCTGTGGGCGTGGGTGTGTGAGGGCCTCCGACAATGACAGTTGATAATAAATCTCTCTTGGCCAGTCCATATATGTGCGCTATGCGCCATTAGAAATGTCGAGGGACTCGGCTAACAATATAGCCAAATAAGATACCAGCAACAATGTCGAGGAAATAAATGTAATTCCTGTTTGGCACGAAACAACTTTCGCAAGTTACTGCCCGTTTGAAATGGTCATTTCAAATTGAGGGGTTTGCGGAAAGATCTGCAGATAGTGTATGATGGCCAAAACGATGGGAACTTTGAAGGGTACTCTAAGCTAAAAAGTTACTTAAGTTCATAGAAGAGAAACTGGCAAGTTGCGACCTATTTTAGTTTTAAGAGAAATATATATATATTGAATGCTTTATAATTTTTCAGATTAATGAGAAATAGTCATGGGAATAATTTAGGAATTTCTATTAAAAAACCCCTTTAAAATATTTTTGTAAATGCTGCTTTTCTTTTATAAAATTAATGAGCATCGTACATAACCAAGATGTAAGAATATATTCCTTGAAAATTTTTTTACTTTTTGTTCTTTACAGACAGTTATTTCGATAGAAGAAAAGATTTATTTCGAATGCCAACTTAAAATGATTTATAGATTTTTTAGGGTGCTGAATATATAAGCCGGCTCTACTTTCGTTATGCTTCTGTTGGCCTTCTACCCATTCCCGATCATTTACTTTTATTTATTTCAATAAAAAAAGAAGCCAAAGTAACTGCCTGTCACAGGCCATAACTGGACAAGGCTTTTGGCTCCTTCTTACCACTTTCGGGACTGGTCTATGAAAAACTTTTCCATTTCCTCTAGTCAATGACAGACTCTTTTCATTAGGCAAAAGGCACTCGACGTAAAGTTGGTGGAACTTTTCCCTTGTTATAGCTGGTTCTTGGGTCCGGGCCAGGTCTTTGGACTTGGACCTTGGTCAGTCAGTGGTCGGGAGGCATGTGACATGGGCAGACATTCCACAAGTCTGCACAAGTATGACCATGTAATGGCATGTGTTTTGTCGGCTTTCAGGAGTCACTTCATCTCGAACTTTGGACTAACAAACCGTCTCTCTTTTTTCACTCTTCTTTCAGACATTTGCTGGGAAGCCTTTAAGCCACGTAAAACCAGGAACAACGGTAAGTGTCAAAAATTGTTAGTATTACTTAGGAAAGGAAATAGAAGGGTTTCGCTATCCCCCTCTTCTTGAGTGAGTGAGTGACATTTGCCAGAGCGCCTAATTGTAGGCAATTAATTTCTGGCACATCAAAGCAACGGAAGGAAGTTTAACTGGCAGGAAGAGCAAACAACGAAGACAGCAGAGCAAATGCAGCTGGTGTCCGCTTTTCGGGGGTTGGTTTCAATGGTTTGCTATGGTTGGGGTTTCCAGCTCGAGGAACCGCGGCTCTCCGGCTAACCGCACCTTTTTAACCCTTTATCTCGGCGGTTGGGGACTGAAAGTAGAGCCACATCGAACCGGAAACTTAATGCAGCTCTAATGTGATGGCCGAACAGAGAGTGCTTGGCCGAAAAGCAATTTGACTGCCATTGCCCGGGCGTTATGTAATAATGAAGAACGGAGAGTAGGAAAAGCCATATTAGATAGCCACCATGGCGTATACGCAATATCCATGCGTAGGTTTTTTACTGTGCGGGGTACAATTGCGGTTAAGATTCTAGGATTCGTAGCCATCTAGGATTAAGTAACACAAATAAAGTAAATATATATTATTTTTTGATCGTCATTAAAAGAAATGTAATTTATCGTCCTAACATAAAGAAAACATAAAAATTATTTCTAATTTTTGGTTTTAGCAATTAAAAACCATTTTTTTAATATACAAGGACACCTTAAACGATTTTTTGTGAGTCATATTTTTTGAATTTGACTAAGAATACACTTCTTTTTGACCCTCAGCTGTTGTCCAACTTTTTTTTTGGTAAGGACTTATGGAGCAGGTCAAAGGGTGTGATGGCCAAATAAAATATTTATGAATTGCCTAACCAACGGACGAACCGAAAATGTTGGGGAGCGATTTAATTGCATTACCCGAGATATCTCCTAGTCGATAAGTCCTAGGAAATAACCCAACCTCCAACCCCCACCCCTCTAACTTAGTATGTGGGGGAGGAGTGTGCGTGTGTGAGCAAGGGGTGGTTGTAGATTTGGGGACTGGAATTGGAATTGGTTCGGCTTTTTGGGTAATTGTGGCTACAGGGCAAAAGGCATTACAAGTGTAGAACCTGTATTCTCGCCGCTTTTTGAGGGCATTTTGGGGGTTCGGGTTTTGTATTGCCTGCAGACTCTGTTGCGGCGAAAATTTGCGAAATCAATCGTGTGGAAATTGTACAAAATGGCTTTCCGAACACTAAATCAAAGGGAGGAGAAGTCGAGGTCGAGGCAAGTGGCAATGAGCTCGACAAAGGATGAGACAGGGAAAAATCGGAAAGTAGATGTAGAGAAATTTATATGTGAAACAGAAAAGAAAGAAAGGGAGGTTTTTGGGTAATCAGTATTTACAGTAATAATATACAAAAACTATATAAATCATAGAAGAAAAGTAAAAATTTAGATTTATGCCTTCAAGTTAGGCGACTACATTAAAGCTACATAAATATATTTTCTCTTAATGACTATTTTATTCGTGTACTTTATTTCTTTTCATTCCGAAACTGCCTTCTTTATGCCCTTTAAATTATTTGCTCTTCACTTTTGTTTGCTGTCTTCGTCATCAAATTCTATTTCAACACATTCACATGCAAATAGCGGTAGTCTCTTCATTTCTTTCCTCGCTCTTCGCTCCTTTCCTCCCGTTTCGCTGTGTATCTCTAAGCGTTAATGTGCTCAATTGTTTGTTTGCCTCGTGCCTCGTTCCTCATGCGGCACTCGGCGAGTTTCCCTTCGTCGCTTTTCCACCCATCGCTTCATTGTCAACGCAGCGTTGTGAAAATTAATCAAAAAAACTTTTGCCAAACAACATTTTCAATTGACAATTTAAACTTTTATCTCGGAAGACATTTTACATAAAAGTTTTGTGTTAAAAATTCGCCCAACTAAAAATGAAAAATGCCGACTGTCTCCTCGGCCTGCGATACTTAAAGGAAAACCGAAGCCTAAGGAAAGGGGCCAAGTCACTTGAGTAGGCAGCTCACAGGCTATCAAAACTTTTGACGCTTAACTTGGTAGCACCAGGAATCCGAGTTCTGGTGGGTGGTTCTTTGTCTTGACTTTGTTGTTTCACCGGCCTGATGATAGCTGCGTAAGCAACGCACAACACTCGGAAAACTGGGCTTTCGAATAGGTAAATATTTGGGGCGGGGCTCAGGAAAAACCCCTTTGGGGTTGGCAGGAGGTAACCAGAAGCCTTTGGAAAAGGGCGTTGAAACCAGACCTGGAGATGCCACACGAAGCTACTGCCCCCGGCGTACGCACTTTAAAGTGGTTTATGCGGAGCGAATATCGTGATAACCAGAAATATTATATATTTTATAACTAGGAAGTAAGAAGACATAATTAATTAGTCAATCTTAAAATTGAGCAAAGAAATTTTAAAATTATTTAAAACTATAAATACTAAAAAAAGGAATAAAGATACTCCCATTCCTTAACCTATTTGACTTTTTGCTGTCGCATAAACCTTTTAAATAATCTAACTAACCAAACAAAAGTGATTTCCCCTTTGGTCGTGTCTCTGCGTATTTATTTACATTTTACAAGGCCCAGCGAAAGCACACACACACGCACAGGAGTACAAGGATCCAGGAGAGAGGAGTCTCGGAACATGACAACAAGGCGCAAAATTATGCACAGAGTTGCCATTTGGCATCTCCCTCTCACTGGCTTATGGCCCAAAAATCCCAGAAGCGTTAGCGATGTCAGCGATGATGTTGCTGTTGCTGCCGTAGATGTTGCTGCTGTGTATGTTGCTGCTGTTGCTGTCGCTGTTGCTGTTGCTGTTGATGTTGCTACTGCTGTTGATGTGTGTGCGACAGGCAGCAACAAGGTGGGATGAAACCGTGAACACAGCCGCAGATACAAACGCACATTCAAGGACCCCGGCATGGATGGGTGTCCTTTAGGAAAATTCAATATGGCGTCGGGGTTGCTGCTCCAACTTCCATTTGCCAACTTCTGACGGATGACTACCCCTACGCCTCTGCCCAGGCAGAGCAAGGCAAGAAAAACCAACACAGCATCCGGAAAAGCAGCAATCAAGTGGAAGCTGGTTTGTGGTGTCATGTGCTTGGCTTATTTGATAAATGTCTGCCAGGTCGGAGGTCGGGATAATACCTTTCGTTCGGGTTATATCGACCATTGTGTTTTAGAAGTAAGATGGACTAAGCTGATAAATTAAGTCAAATCAGCTAATCAAAATTTGGATAATTTTTAAGGATCACTAAAAGATTTATTTAAATTTGGAATAGAGACTTATTAGGTTTTTCAAATTATTTTAATAGAATTTTGTATTAACATAACCCACATCCTAATTGCAGATATCTTTTAAAAATAAATTCTAAGGATACTAAGTTCTTTCACAAATACTGATGTAAATTTTATAGAATTTTGAAAAATATATCTATTTATCTAATATATCGAACTGAAACAACCCTTAAAGTCCTTTCAAAACCATAGAGCAGTTTTCCACTTTCATCATATTTCCCTTAAAACTCGTCATTAGCTTTTTCTATGGCGGCAATCTGCTTTTGATGATGTCTTTTCCTTCTTGTCACCACTCACATTTCCTGCGATTTTATTGTTAGAATCATTCCGGGAATCTGTGCTGATTCCGATTTAGTTTGATTTCGCTTTCAGCGACACACAAACAAAATGCTTGGCAAACTTTTCAGCGGGTGAAACTTTGAACATAAATTGCTTATCGCATTCTCAATTCTCCTCTAAGCCTATATATATATATTCTACACGATAGGGCCTAAGCAATAATTTTCATTTATGCTGATAGAGAGCGGGGGAAAACTTTGGCAAGCCTGCCTGTGCCTGTAATCCAATTTACCTAACAACAATTACGGAAAAAGGCGAGCGCAAATTATGTATTATAATTTATGTTAATTACTCAATTACATTCGGGCCCCCAGAAGTACAAGAAGCTGTTGCCCCTCCCCCCAAATTATAAATTCCAAACACAAATGCGCCTCATTAATAAATATGAAACGTCAATGGGGGCGAGCGACACTATCGCCGGGTGAAGGTGGAAGGTGTGGGCGTGCCACAAAGATTACGCAAAAAATCAATATTAAAGTGGGCCCAAAATAAGGGGTTGAAGTACCTACGGTCGAGCTGGGAAAACGGAGTGTTACGCACTCCAAAACTCTTGAATCCTGAGACGGCGTCCTTAAATTTAAATAAATTACACACGTTCGACTTTTTCAGTTTGACAAACTTTCTGCCCCTCTCACCCAATCTTGCCCCATTCTACGTCTTCTGGGGGTTGACATACGAGCCAGCAATTTTTCAAGGGCAACGTCTCGAACTCCAAAAGGTAAAACAAAAGGGGCGTTAAAGCTATATCTATACACTACAAAAATTTATTTATAACATTCCAAATTTGTTTAAGCAGTTTCTGTCTCTGAAGAAATTGTTCTTACAAAAATCTTTATTTATTTTTAAACTTTTGAGCCTTTGAAGGAATTTTGAACACTTTAACAGAAAAGTTGCATCCAAATTGATTAGAAATTAAAATCTTAATAATAATTCCTTTGACATTTTTTCTCACAGTGTATTAAGAGGCAGCTGTGGGTGTGTTTCTAGAGAGAGTCCCCCCATTAAGCAATTTCCTCGTATGTTTTTTTATCCTGCTCCATTTTCATGCCATTGCCAGGCTGGGAAAGATTAATGAGGTTTTTTGACAGCGAAAAATTAGGCAAAATGTGATTTAAGGGTTGTTCGGGCCCTTAGCCCACCTTTTGCTTAGCCATTTTCCCCATTTCACGTTGCTGGTGTGGCCAGAGATAAGCCGGGAAAATTTTCGGGAGGGTGGAGATGTGAGTGAGAAGGAGCGGAAAAGCTCTGGGCAATTTATTTTATTTGCCAAATAGTTATATGGAGCACGGCAGTCAGGCAACACTATTTATTTGATGATGTATTTTTATTACGAAGGAATTTATTAGATCGTGTTTGTCT